GGAAAAGTCAGACAAAGACAGCACATGGACTGAGTGGCGAGCAGGGAAGGGTGGGGGTGGGGTGGGGGGACAGGAGCAGAAAGCAAAAGTGTCCGCCTTCGTCGAGAGCCAAGCAAGAATATTTTCAGCTTCCACCATATAGTCCTCTGCTCTGCTTTTGCTCTGTTCATTTTCCTCAACGCAAGAGTCATCCTACACACCACCAACCTCTGCTGTCTGGCTCGACTCTCACGACCACTCCTTTGCAGTCTCTGATTTCCTTCAGATTACACCGTCTACACAAAATGTAGTCGACCTGTGTACTCCTGCCTCCACTCTAATTGGTCACCCTATGTTCCTGCCTCTTCTGTAAAAAAGTATTCACAAATGCCATTTCCATCCTCTTGGCAAAGTTAACCACCATCTGTCCTTCTGCGTTCCTCGTCTGGAGTCCAAACCTGCCCATCACCTCCTCATCATCTCTGTTTCCTGCGCCAACATGTCCATTGAAGTCTGCGCCAATCACAACTCTTTCACTTCTTCGGATGTTCTATATCAGTTCCTCAAGGTCCAACCAAAATTTCACCTTCTCCTCCAACTCACATCCTACCTGTGGGGCATACCCACGAACAACATTGAACATCACACCTTCACTTTCTAGCCTCAGACTCATCACTCTATGTGACACTCTCTTTACTTCTCGGACATTTCTCACAAACTCCTCCTTCAAGATAACTCCGACTCCATTTCTCTTCCTGTCTACACCTTGATAGAACCACTTGAACCCTGATCCTAAGTTTCTATCCTTGCTTTCCACCTGGTCTCCTGGACACACAGTATGTGTACCTTCCTCCTTTGCATCATGTCAACCAACTCTCTTCCTTTTCCTGTCATAGTTCCAACATTCAAAATCCCTACTATCAATTCTTCTCTCTTGGGGTTCCACTTCTCCCTTTTCCTATGGACACACCTTCCTCCTGTCCTTCTTTGACCAACAGTTGTCCATTTTCCACCGGCAACCTGGAGGTCAACAGTGCCAATGGCAGTGGTTGCTATGGTTGTTAACCCGGGCCTCGACCGATTAATGGATCTCAGTTTCCGTTGCCCAGATGTTTCTCAAAGGCGGGTCACCAAGGCTCCCTCTGGATCCAGGCCTGGAGGTGGGGCTCGTTGGCGAGCGCCTGGTGGCCGGGCCTACACCCATGGGGCCCGGCTGGGCTCAGCCCAATGAGGCAATGTGGGTCCTCCTTCTCATGGGCTCACCACCCATGGGAGGGGCCAAAGGGTTCGGGTGCAGTCTGAGCTGGGCGGCAGCCGAAGACGCGGAAAGGACCCTGGCAGTCCGATCCTCTGCAACAGAAGCTAGCTCGAGGGATGTGGAATGTCACATCTCTTGCAGGGAAGGAGCTCGAGCTGGTGTTGCGAGGTAGAGAAGCTCCGACTGGATATAGTCGGACTTGCCTCCACACAGCCTGGGCTCTGGTACCAGTTCTCTCAAGAGGGGTTGGACTCTCTTTCACTCTTGAGTTGCCCACGGTGAGAGACGCAGAGCAAGTGTGGGCATACTCTTTGCCCCCCGGCTCAGCGCCTGGACATTGGGGTTCACACTGGTAGACGAGAGGGTTGCCTCCCTCCGCCTTCAGGTGTGTGTGGGTGTGTGTGTGTGTGTGGGGGGGGGGGGGGGGATCCTCGGCTGCAGAAGCTAGCTCTAGGGACGTGGAATGTCACCTCTCTTGCAGGGAAGGAGCCCGAGCTGGTGTGCGAGATAGAGACGCTCTGACTGGATATAGTCGGACTTGCCTCCACACAGCCTGGGCTCTGGTACCAGTTCTCTCAAGAGGGGTTGGACTCTCTTTCACTCTTGAGTTGCCCACGGTGAGAGACGCAGAGCAAGTGTGGGCATACTCTTTGCCCCCCGGCTCAGCGCCTGGACATTGGGGTTCACACTGGTAGACGAGAGGGTTGCCTCCCTCCGCCTTCGGGGGGGTCCTGACCGTTGTTTGTTTGTGCGTAAGCACCCAACAGCAGTTCAGCGTACTCTACCTTTTTTGGAGTCTTTGGAGGCTGTGCTGGAGAGTACTCCTGCTGGGGACTCCCTTGTTCTGCTGGGGTACTTCAATGCTCACATGGGCAATGACAGTGAGACCTGGAAGGGCGTGATTGGGAGGAACGGCCCCCCTGATCAGAACTCGAGTGGTGTTATTGGAATTCTGTGCTCGTCACGGATTGTCCATGACAAACACCTTTGTGGAAGTGTGTGTACATAGACACGGTTACAACCCACTTCTCGCGGTTAATTACTTTTTAAATTGAATGACTTTTACTTTAATTAATTTGACTTAAATTTAATTCATTAATTGTGACACAAGCGCTGCAAGGAGAGAGACCACCGCTCGTTCCTACTGACTGCTGTCAGGCTGCTGAATAAAAAATAAACAAGGTGAAAACCAGTAACAATTGTAAATAACACAGCCACCTTATACCAGTTGCATATATGCTTTCATCTCTATCTATATTTATATTGACTATTTACATATCTATATTTATATTGCACTTATACTGAAACATTCATTTTTGTGCATGCAAACTCTTTGTTCTTCTTCTTTCTACCCCCCAATTTTGCTGCTGTAGACTGTAAATTTCCCCAGTGTGGGAGAAATAAAGGACATCTTAATGGGGACCAGGCCCATACCGCGATAAGTGAAAACCCACGAAGGAGGGTTTGCTCGGTGTTCGGTTGATTGTTTTTAGTTATCATACATTTGCGTATTATAAGTAAAAAAATCTATTATGCTTGCAATGAAGAACGCTGATGCCTGCAAGAATGAATTGATTATGTCTGCAATGAAGAACACATGCTTTTAATCAAGACATTATTATGCTTTTAATAAAAATATGTCCACATTTCCAAAAAATAATTCTAAATTCACTCTGGATAGTTGAGTGACAAAACCACCTTTCCGAGAAAGTAAGTGCTTGTGGAGGCTCTCAGTCGTACAGGAAAGTTCCATAGTAGAAGGGGTTCCGCCAGTCGTCATCTGTACCTGTGGGTCAAAAAACAAACAAAACAAAAAACAAAAAAGGACGTTTCGCTTCTCTCACAGAAGCTTCGTCAGCGGTAGACAACTCTGAAGTCTCCGTGAAGACTCCGGGAAATTGCTCTGTGCTAAAAAGCTGAACGTGGCCTATATGAGGACTGGGTGGGGATGGTGAGTCACGCCCCTATGGTTAAAAGGCCCATTGATTTCTAAATTCCCGATCGTTGGGTCTTGATTAGGCCTATTGTTTGGGCTAGGGCTGAATAGCTACTTTCAGTAAGCCTGATCAGCATGTCTATGTCCCTTACTGGTCAACAAGTTATTGTAAATAGGAGACAGGTTAAATCTGATACCTCCTTCACGGTTCAGAGAGGGTGAAAATTTTTTAACAAAAATCGCTTCCTTTACTCCCCTTTCAAACCATCTCTTTTCTGTTCCTAGGATTTTTACTTGTTCATCTTCAATTGTGTGGTTTGTTTCTTTTAAGTGTG